GCCGTTGCCGTTGCCGTTGCCGTTGCCGTTACCGTCGTCGCTGACGTCGTCGTTGGCAACCTTCTGTCGATCGTACAAGTATCCTTCCTTGATCGTTGCGCCTGTAAAAGTGATGGTGTGTCATTTCAACGACATCGATAGATCTTACGAGTTGAGAACACTCGCGGCAGACGTTGCTATGGAACGTAACGAGTCTTCTTCACGTGTAGGCGACTGTGATCACCTTTCCCAGGAATGCATACTCGGAGCGTCCTTGTCGCGTATGTAGGCACCGTGAAAACACCGGAGTCACGCTACGCTACGCTGTACTTCCGGTGAGTATACGGAGTGCAATATACCTCGGCGCTACTATTTCAACGTTCGTGAACACTGGCAAGCATGCGATCGATATTCACGCGTTAATTGGACGCAGCCGGCATTTCCTCCGCAATACGCTCCAAGAAGAGTAATTTTTTCATTGAAATCAACAAACCTTTAGAATTGCGCCGGTAGAGTTTCAATTAGTAGAGATTCTTAAGCAGACGACACTCGTAAACATACTAACCGTATGATTTTGGTACCTGTAAGAGCACCGCACAAGACAATGCGAATCGCGCAGCCCACTCACCTGTAGCTCGTCGATATCGAAAATGATCCATCGCCGATTGCGAGCAATGAGTGGACGCATCGGAAAGTTCACCATCGGAACAAACATCTTTGTAACCTTCCGGTGGACTTAACGTCTCCTGCTGTTGATGATCTTGTTGTGGAAGCGGTGTCGAATACATCGTTCTGTCCAAAATCGGTTGTGACCGCGGTGGCGGCGGCGGCGGAGGCGGCGGCGATGGTTCCGCGGTTGTTGACACGGACGCTGGTAAAGGCGACGGCGACGACAGCAACGACGGCAACGACGGCAACGATGACGTTGCGATCGACACTGACGGGACGACGCAAGAGTTTAACTCGCTTAAATGTCCACTACTCCCTCTCGGTGCCTCGGCTTTTTCTCGTTTCTTCTTATCTCGTACATCCACCTTGATCGTCATCCTTTTATCAATCTCCTGCGCCAGCTCCATTTCCAGCTTTTTTGTTTCCGTTTTCCGTTCCTTCTTCCTTTCCACGGCCTCCGTTCCGTTCTCCGCGGCACCCTTTGCATTTTCCACTTGGCCACACTCTCTGTCCACTTTGTATTTTTCTCCCTCGCCTGCTCCCCTCCCCTCCCCCTCGCTACGCAACGCCTCGTGCTCATCTTCGTCTTCGTCGTCTTCTTCGTCCTCCTCCTCCACCTCCTCCTCCTCCTCCTCTTCTTCTCCTCTCGCTTCTTCGTCTTCCTCTTCTTCTTCGTCTTCTTCTTCTTCTTCCACTTCCTCTTCTTCCTCTTCTTCTCCGTCTTCTTCCTCTTCGACATTCCCGGCATGTAATTCTGTACAACCGAAACGTTCACCGTTCTCGCAACCCCTTTCTCTGGCCAGTGTTATCTGCTGGTCCCTTTCCAGGTCGCGGTATCGCGAATGGTTCTCATCCGAAATACCGAAATGAAGGTTCAATTCGGCTCTGCATTCTTTGCAGTTGCCCAACCGCAAGAATTCATCTTCCTGACAACAACAATCGCAGTCTTCCTCGTAATCGGCGCAACATTCTTCTTCTATCAGTATTATATAATCTGCCGCAAAGAATTCGTTTAATTTTTCATTGATCACAACTCGATTCTTTTGCGATCTCGCCTTGGACTGGCCAGGCTTTTTTAACAGGGACTTGAGAATCTTCGTAGGCTGTTCCGCCGGAAGTTTGCTTCCGTGCTCCTTCATTATATCGGGGTTTCTTTTCCCTTTCCTTCTTCTCTGTATGTATCTGTCTGTATCTACGACGCACAATTCTGTCGTTTCCCCTCTACTCGTTTCTCGAGTGTCGCGTTATTCGTTCGTTCCTAGCGTTCCTTTTGCGATTCGTCTTCTTGCTCGTCCGCTCCGTGCATAGAAAGGAAGATTCGTTTGAAACGAGAACCGAAGGATGCTCGTGCGATACTCGCGCGTTTCCAGTTACATTCGATCGATCGTTTACGATGGACAGGACAATCGGGTTAAGTGATCGTATCATTGATTCCACGCATTATATTTTTCAACCACGAATCTGCCGCCCGTATTAATCCTAACTGAGACTACTGTCCGCCGTGGCACGTGTCTTTCAAATGGATTTCAGTTTGTTCGAATGAAAAGAAACAAAAGAACAAACAAGACTATACCCGGTACCATAATCACCACGAATGTACGCGCGATTGCAGTATCTGTTGCATTCGAGGCATTCGGGTCGATCGAATTCGTTCCACTGTATCGTGAAGTTATCAGCGAATTCAAGATTACGATGCACTCGGAGAATTCATCATACGGAAATCTGTGCGAGTCTTTGCATAATGGTGTCGGCCAGCAGGTTTAACGGCGGAACGTTGATTATCTTCCAAGCGGACCACAGAATAAAATCGATACTCGAGCTTTCGACGAAAAAGCCAATTAACACTGAAATCGGTTCTCTCCATGTAAATATGGGACAACGGATACTTTTTCGTCGCACCCCGAATATCCGTAACGAACGATCATTAAATATATCATCCGACCTGACACCGTTATCAACACCTGCACCGATACACTTCACTGTCGTCGTCATCGACCATACCAATGTTGTAGCTGTTGTTTTTGTTGTTGTTGCCTTGGTCGTTGCCGTAGCCGTTGTTGTTGCCGTTGCTGTCGTTGCTGTCGTTG